TTGTGATTTAGAGTGCATGGAGGAGGTATGAGATATAGATCACAGCTGTCTACATCAGAAAACATTTCTTCCAACAGCTTCTTTGTTCATAAACCAAAATAGACAACCAAGAATTCTACATAGCATCAATATAAAAATGAAACAAACAGGGAAAATAAATAGATTTCTTGTCTCCTGAGGTGAGCTGCAAAAACTTGCCTATTACACCAACAGGAATTATAATATAGGATCTGATGAATGAGAGTGGGATTAGTTTAAGAAAAGACAACAGACAGGGTGATTTCTGGACATTCATAGTTAGAGTGTGTGCAAATGGAGGACAAACGAAAGGTTGTAAGATAAATGAGAGCAACATAGGATAAGTTGTAAATGTTTCCTGTGGAGAATGTATGAATTAGAAAGCAAAGGCAGCTTTTAAAGGTGCGTAGCGTCAGTTCCCTGTGTGATATGTTGGCCAGACTGCTGCACATACAGACCCATTGGCTTTAAGATATTCCCGTGAAAGAACTTGATAACATCCAGAACTTCTAATGTGAGATTTAATTTCCCCCAGCCACGGATTTAAAAAAAAAAAAAATGTATTCATGAGCAAAGTCAAGGAGACACCCGTACTGAAGCAGAAAAAAGATTGAAGTCTCGCCATATATAAAATTAATCTTTCAAGAGAAATGCTCACTGAAAATTGAGGCTTATAAATTTATGAAGCGACACACATATTCAGGTTTCAAAGGATATATTTTTGATCATCAGATAAAGAAAGAGTGTGAATAAAAAATGAAGGCAAATCGGCATGCAGAGTTATAATCCACTGAAATAACTTTTCTGTGCTCATCCCTTAGGCTAATTAAATACTGGGACCCTTCCTCAAACATATGCAGCTCCTTTGTGAAAAAGATATCAATAAACAAATTATTTGGTCTGTACACATCATTAATGTAAAATTACATGTAAGAAAGTCATTATGAAAAGCTTTGGGTTCTCCAAACAATCACCTTCTGCACAATTATCTCTAGTAAAATCTGTGCCGATCATAGAAAAGAGGAATAGATAATGGAATTCCCACTTTTTCCCTCTTTTGGAAAAGGAAAACCAAAACCCTGCAGGGGCTAATGACACAAGCTGCAGTCTAGACATGAGACAGGAAAGAGAATACTGAGAAGCAGTGGCGTTTAATGGTCACAACCACTTTGATTCCCATGATAGCAAAGTCTTTTTCTTGCACCGTCTACTGCCAACCACCCACCATGACTGCAGCCTGCAGTAATGTCTCCAACAACGTGACTGAATATGTTCAACCCCCAGAGTATCCGCCCTCTGTCCACACTGGCAGAGTGTTATAACTGAGGCAGAAGGATGGAAACTGAGGTGGAAGGATTTTGAATAATGTGAGCAGCCATGAGGCATTCGTGACCTTTGACCATCCTAATAATGTGGTGTATCTAATCCCCAAATCCATGTCTGGGGGGGCTCGAGCTCACTCTCTGAGATGGATGGCAGGTTCTTTTTCATGCTGAGCAGCCATGAAACGGAGGACAACAGTGCTGTTAATATAGATAATCCATTGCCTGTTAACCTAACTCTGCTTCTGTCTTTCTATCTATGAATGAATTATGATTCTGTTCTGTTGTATAGAGGTGGAGGCAAAGATCTCAGAGACAGATGATTCAGAATCAGGGGGACAAAAAAAAGGAAAGTTATTCCATTGCTAAATACTCGGGGGGATAAGTCAAAGAATATATCTTTGTATTTTTGGGGTGGACCAACTCTTTATTATGTGCTATTCAGAGTGTTGTAACAATGTATAGCTCTCATGAACTTCTGCGGCTGTTTAGAAAAACCTCACTACAGTTTACAAACTATAAAGTACCTATGAAGTGAACGCCAATAAACCTGCGTTCACAACTGACACTAAACCATGGAAATCCCTAAAGAGTAGCAGTCACTCACAGCAGTGGGTGAAATGTCCTGGAGGAAGTAACACCTTTCTGATCATTCGTTGATGTTTCACACCTATCCACTGAGCCCTCCTATTGCCTGCCATTGTCCCCCAGAGGAATGATAATGGTCATTATGTCTCTTCCTCAGAGCGCTGGACATCTGTGAGGGAAGGAGGGACAGAGGGATGGAGGGAGGGAGGGAGGGAGGGAGGGAGGGGGAGCTTCCACTTTCTCTAGGGCCACTTCATGTGTTGCCAAACTGGAAACAAACAGGCACTGTGCTTCAGATCTGCTGCTGCCCTGATGCCCATAGACTGTCCCTGTTTATAGACCCATCACTTAATTGTGGCCTCACACAACTATGTCCTTTCTCTGCTGTTTCTCCCTGATAATTGCAGCTATTGAGACAGCACTGAGGGTTTTATTCTTGAAATATTTAGAAGGTTTTAAAGTTTTTTTTTTTTTATATGTTTTTTCTCATTTACACTTTTTATTTATTTATTTGTTTGGGAGAAAGCAAATTGTCAAATTCACAACACTGCTGTTGTTCTAGCATGGCACGCAAAATAAAGCTTGTGTAAGGCCTCATGTTCAGTTTCTATCAACAAACTCACAACAAGACTTCCCATTATGGACTGTTAACCTTTTCATGAAAGCCTCTCTGATTTGTAAGAAAACAGATTAAAATCACATGTGTCTGAATTTGCATGAGCAGCAGCCATATAAAGGTTCCTCAGCGATGTAGATGCTCATAAGTACTTTTCTGATTGCATTGCATCCTCTTCTCGTCAGGGGTGCTATCTATATCTGAGGGTGTTGATTAGACAGCGCCCCCCCCCCCCCCTTTTGCAATTCAAGGCCTTACTATTCTCACATTGCCAGGCACTTGTTGTCTGGTTGTTCTGCTGGGTGAGGATAGTGGTTAACTAATAAATGATCAACATGATGCTCATTTTCATTGAATGTTGTACAACTTGTTCAGTGTGAGAGATATTTCTGAAAGTCGCACTGTGGAATACACTCGGGGCACAATTAAAGCATAGCTGTACTTCAGATTTAAAATTCCCACCTCAGCTGTCTGGGCTAAAGGATTAAACAACTTTTTGGCTTCAGAGCAACATAAGCAGTTTCACACATTTTAGTTTGTCACATTCTGGTTGAGTCATGTTTTTGAAATATCCATTTTTACCATGCCTGGATTATGTAGCCAGGACCTCGGGGCAGCACGCTCTATGGGTCCCGTCTCTGCAGCGATACCCTCCACTGTGAGCCTCTGTACAGACATTTGAAATAACTGAGGGGACTGGCACCTAAACATCTCATTTCTGGCCTACAAATATTGATGACAGCCAACATGACCAGGGGAAAAACAAATTTACAATTAAATTGCATGCACACAGAAATCTTTGAGGGTCCTTGTCAGCCCCTAAGCTTCAGTGTTGTGTTTAATTGCACTTCACATTATGGTGATCACTACCATCATCACAAACCCCCCTCGTAGCACCAGAAGGCATTTGGCCCCCGCCCTCAGTCTTAGTTTTAGCCCTCTGTGCTAAACTAGCTGCATGCTCCCACAATAACAGTAGTGACGTCACTGGCCATCATTGGACACACGCTGCCTTCAGGTTCTCCTCCTAAGATCTGATTTCTGAGCACTTTACGTCGTTTATCCGACTGGAACTGCCTATGACTGGAAAGAAACAGGACAGAAACAGAGTAGATATTTTTGGTTGAGAGTTATAGAGATCAGGAGAGATGGACCTTTTTTTCAGTAGAATGAAAAAGAGAAGCTTTAGAGAACAAAAGTAACTTCAACACTTTAAATGCCCCGGAAAACCGGGTTCTTAATAAATACAGAGTTTTTGGTTTGGGTTAATTATCAGACTTTGTCAGGGATTTGTAATGGTTATGTCCTGGACTTATTTACATAATTGTCCCTGGTGTTTTCACAATCCACCAATTGGAAGAGTAAAAAGGATATTGAATTATATTTTTGTAAATGTGAATGCTTTTTCATTGTATGCACCTGTCATATACAAAATTCAGCAGGCATTGTAGTGTAATATGTGTCAGAGTAGGTAGACTTTTCTTCCCCAGTTGTTTCATGTCAGTGGAGCAAGCCTTTAAAACACAATACTGCAGACAGAAAATGTCAGACATGTTGTCTAACCCGGATTTGTTTATAGTCTGAGGAGAGAAATGGAACACAAGTCTTGTTTGATTGCTCAATTGACTAATTTATCAGTATGCGTATTATATGTTCACGTGCTAGTGTTTTAAAATCTTGTAATAGTGATATTTTGCTTGCTTGCAGCAGCAGTGTTCATTTGAAATCACACTGGGAACAAGAATTGGAGCAAACAAATCTAACCTCCCATTCAGTCAGATTAACATACAAGGGGGAAAAATGAGCTGCTGAGCCCTGATTAGCCAACCATGTCTCCTTGTCTTTGTGTAATATGTACGCTACAGTTTTTCTTTGCTGTTGTACCACATAGCCACAGGTGTGTGTGAGATGTGTGGTAATTAGACTGAAAATAATGAAGGTCTCTGAACTCACATTTTGACATTGGACACAGACTGGTAGCAAAGCTGCTTTTATCATATCAGTTATTTTAGTGTGCACATTTCCCTCAAAATTAACATTAGAACCAGTAGCTTTTTAGTATTCTGGTGCCCCAGGGCAGTTGCCAGGTTTGTCCAGTTTTCACAGTTTTGCTCCCATGCAGGAACTTTTACTTATAATGCGATTGTGTTGAGAATCATTTGTTGGTTTGAAATAACAAAAATCTCGAGTTCTGACTCTTTCATTAGAGCTTTGTAGGTTTAATCAGCATCTGACACATTCTAGTTGCTAGCTAAGTAAACATTTACGGTCGCCTTCTTTTGTGTTTATGTTGTGATTTGGTGGTTAGATATTGCATAAACACCTGTCATATGGGACGCAAGACTGCATGCTGAGAAAGGACCTCTATGTTTCAGTGCGTTTGGAACGTGTTTTAAAACGGTCCGACAGCGCTTGAACGCAGCAAGCTGCAAAACTGCGAGAGGAGCGGTGATTGAAGGGGAGAGTAGAGCGGCGGCGGCGACGACGGCCATCTTAGAGCTACCGTGGTAACCGACACTCATCTTCTGGATTTTATTTTTCTTGTTAGAGCAACACTCCACCTGACTGACGAGGGAAGAAGAAGGTTGTCTTTTACTTCGTCGCGGTTGAACTCGAAGTCGGGATGCGGTTCCGAGGGAATAAACGATTTGCATCCGCTGTCGGACTGGTCCTCGGACTATTATGTGCGGTGGAGGCAGCTAAAGGTAACTAAGCTGGGATTTATATCCCGTTGTGTTTTGTCTGTCTGTGCGTGTCAGACAGGTTTCTTCGTGGCTTGGAAACATTGCTGCTGAAAGTTAACGGTTCCTCGGAGCTTTCAGGTTGTTTCCAGACGTTGAAGGTTCAAACAAACGTTAACCAGGCTGTGCGGTCCAGAGGGATGCGTGTTCAGTAACCTGTTCAGGGATGGTCAGCTCTGGAGCCGCAGCGGAGGGATGACGCGAAGTATCCCGCCGGCAGCAAGTGCATCCTACGATTAGTGTGTCCATTTTAACCTCACACAACCCCAAACCACACATTATATTATATACTACCGTAATTGCCTATGTGTAAGATGTTATTCTAATACCTGCTGTAGAGTAGAGACTTTGGAGATAATATCAAGGCCACGAAACGACCCCCTTCTGTCATCTGCATTCAGTCTATTTTTAGGTGCTGGTCTCTTCTTGTCGCTTCTTAACTCGTTTTTTAAAGATGAAAAATATTTTTCACCCTATGCAGAGTTTTTGAGATTTTTTTATTTTTATTTAACTTGCCTATGTTCGGTACTCTCTGTACTCATCTCAATTTTTAAATATACTTGAGTATATTTGAAATAAGGCGACTGATGATATGTTTATTTACCCCCTTTTTTTTTTTTTTTTTAAAGATCCAGTGTTATTAAACCTCGCAGGTTTATTCCCCCATTAGTAGGCCTAATGCTTGGTTTGGCAACGTTGTGGTCGCACCAGGATGGAGCTTGGTTGGCTACGCATTGCAGATCCTCTTCACATGCTCCTGTTTTGTCGGTGGATTTAAAAATTCATGTGCTGTGATCACAGGCTGAAGTAAAAAGCCCTTCGGTAGGTCTGGACCTACTTAAGACCAGAGACTATATATAAGAACTGAAAGTGCAACTGGCTCTTCATTTACAATGTCACGGATGGACACTGAGGAGAAACATGTCTTTATTTGCTGCAGGGCGGTCCACCTCCCTCCTTACAGCAGCTCACTGATCAGACATGGACTCCCTCATTGCATGAATTTACACACTGTGTTTTAACGTTAAATTCAATCTACTGACTCCGCAGTGTGAGCTTCCTGTTTCAGGGTGTGTAAGGGCAGGTGCATATTAGTCAGTAGCCATATCAGCATGTCTCCACCGCTGGAGACCAGTGTGTGTTGTTTTTCTCTTAATGTTACACCCATTTTATGCTCCATGAACAAAACAAAGAATATGAAAGGGACACTGGGTCCCATAAAAGTCTGCACACCAGCTTCTAATACAGCCATATTTTTTCCTGTTGCCATGTCAAACAGCTGAGAATGCACAGCACCAGAGGACTACCATTTGTAAAGCAGTAACTTAATTTCTTTTTACATCAATCAAAAGGAAAAGGCCCGTAGCAGATAGTCCTGGGTAGTGTGTGAATGTGGCTTTTTGTGTCGTAGCCAAGTGTGTGTTTGTAAAGTGCACCTGCTGACTTTCCTGCTCTTATCAGCAAAGCAAGGCTGTGAAATCACCATGAGGGCTTATCTTTTATTAACCAAAGGTCACTTGCTTATTTGAGCCACCTCCTGTCACCTGCAGTCCAGATTTGCCTGTTGTTGATTCTTCTTCAATAACAGCCACCTTGCAGTGCACGAGGAAGCAAATACTCCTCAGGTTTTTCCTGAATCCTCTGGTTTAGATGTCTGCAGATGATTAGATGTTATCACTACAGAAACAGATTGAGCATGAGGAAGGGATGTTGTGGTCCTCACCCATTTGCCTACACAAACATTGTCATGACTGATGACATGGCTACAACAAGCCTTGAACAATCTGATAAAAATAGAGGTTTGAGGTGTATCAACACATTACCTACACTATATGATTCATTACACTGCCAGCAAGGAAATGTCAGTGCGTGTGAAACTGGGGCAAACATGGATCGTCCGTGGCAGGCCTGTTGAAGCTTCAACACATTTTAGGCTTTTAACTCTTTGGTGTTGCTGCCCACTGCTGTAAATGCTGTTTTTAATAGACACTTCTGGAGTTTCACATCATGGTGTTTGTCACTTGTTTTCAAAGTCTCGCCCCATGTGATCTGTTTCTTATTCTGTTACCATGAGCAGCTGCTGCGTGTCCCCATGTTCTAGACTCAAACGTTCGGTCTGCCGAGACGCATGAGCCTCTCCTGTGCACACACAGCCAGACAAAGGAGAAGCTGGCTGATGGGAAGTTTCTTGGCTCATTCATCATGGAATTAAGTAATTCTAGTTGAACAAATTGGATGCCCTGCTTTGTGTGCTGCTGAGTTAACATATGCGCCCTCCTCACATGGCTGGGATAAAGTACGTGTTACAGATCAGGTGAAAGTGTTTCCTCCCAGGCCTCCTTCCTGCATTCATTGGCGATGCCTGCAATTGATCACTGAAAATTGCACGTCAGTTAATATATCAGATCAATATTTTTCTTTTTAGAACATAATTTATTGGCCTGTCATGCGGTGCACCCCTGAGGTTCCTCCTCGATTTCAACTACATTAAATCATATTATTCTGTTTATATTCTGTTTATTTGATGTTTTTATAGCCTGAGTTAAGATATCCAGGAAAGTATTTACACATTTTCTTTGTTCATACAAATGTTCTATATAATTTTCTTATGTCTTTACTGGGAAAAAAAGGATTTAAATCATGAAGTTTCAAAATAGCATCAGGTGATATTTTTTGTATTAACTAATTCATTAATTGACTAATAATTTCAGCCATAGTCTTCACCGGCTTTCACGCCCTTACAAGTGGTCATCAGCAACTTCACTTTAAAAACAATATTGATATTGTCCTTCAAAAACCAATATTGGTTGAAACCTTTTGCCTGACTTAAGAAATTCATCCCAAATAGATCTATTGATTAAAGGATCCAAGAAACTAAAATATAGGATGACTGCCATCATTGACCTGGTCCACTCTGGGGAAATATATATGCTCACAGTTTGTTTTTTCTGTTGATTTAAGCCCATTTTAAGCCCTCAGACTACCAACAATCTGTGTGACATATGTCATCCTGCTATGTCATGGCAAACAGAAACTATGTGGATGCACACAGCTGACAATGACTACATTGTTCTCCTCTCCCATGCAGCTCTAGTAACACTGGTGTATGCCATCATTCAGTCAGTTTACAGACTTGTTTTTACTCAGAAATTACATCATTAACTGTCAACAGGGGGATGGCTAATGGCCAACAATGTGATAATACTGGGAAAGAAGTGAATCAGTTCAGTTTCATTTTGAGCATGTCAGGTCTTTATCAGCTGGTAAAACACAAAATAAAATGTCAGCTGTTGTCAGTGCGTCACTGTAGGTGGTTTTGATTGATACAATCCATTTCATTTGAAGTTAGTGAGATGTTCCTCGTATTCCACAGTGTCTAACTCCATCAAGTCATTGAACACAAGCCTTTGCTGAAACTTCATCGTCCAAAAAATATGCCATTTTAATTCTGATTGGTTGACGGCAACCAAGAATACCTAAATCCTGCATGAGAATATTAGGGCTTTGTGTGAGGATGAATTTTACAAAATTTCTAATTGGTCGCACTGACTGAGCCACTGAGTCATGAACATTTATTATGTTACTAAAGTACAAACTATTGGCAAACGTCATGAGATTTTGCAGGAATGTTGAGAGTTCAGTAGTTATGGCAGTCAGTGTCAAATAGGCCATGCCAACAAGATATTGGTAGTCAATTATAGGAAAACAGAATGGAATAACAAAGAACAAATTAATACAATTTTATCAGCCTCTACATAATATGCAGTATATTTTTAGATGATTGGATGAAATTTGTAGGAAGAATGGTTAAAAAGATTTTACAGAAAATTGTAAAATGGTGGAAAATATGTCAAGCACAAGGCACAAAATGGGTGAGACCAATACTCAGATTTGTCTGAATGCAGGGAAATTGGGGAAAGAATATGCCTCTACAGCTCTACACAGTCAAATCTAATTACTTGCTTGTGTGTGTCGTGGCCTAAATTTACACCAAAATTTCACTAAAATCTGATTTATATTTGTTGAGAGATCCTGCTAACAAACACACGATGTGGACTGAGGTAATGAAGGAACTTTTCATTGTTATTAAAGTGGGATTTAAAATTGATTACTGCTTCTGTGGAGTATAAGAACCATTATGAAACATTTTACCCTGTATTGCAAAGAACAACAGTTTACTTGCCCCAGACAGAGGCCCTGTTCCTACAAGTTAGCTCTTATATTTTTCAGTATTTATTCAGAGATTCTGCAGAGGAACAAAGGGCTTTTAGACCCAGACTTCAGGGTTGGGATCTTGACTAAGTATGTCACAATGTGGTCACTGTTGAAGGATCGCGTCTCAGGCCCCTCAAGAATGTGTGTGTGAGATAATCCTCAGAAAGTGCTAAATTGTTGAAGTATTTCAATTTGGTAATTTGCCACTTAGTGCTGGAAAGACAGGCCATGAGAATTCTGGACTTAATTTGGTTCGCTGGTGACTTCCCTCTCATTGGTGACTTCACAGGCTGAATGGAGTCAGTGAACTGTCAAGAATGGGTCATTCAGTTGTGAATATTAAATTGTGCCAGATGACTGGGAAGTTGTGTTGGCCACCAAGAAGGGGGTTTACATTCACATGAGCCCCTGGTCTTGATGCTTTACATTGCCAGTGCAGAGCAAAAAGTAATATTCAGACAACAAAACACCAACATGAGAAAGTAAATATCCATGTTTTTAATCAACTTATCTCATATTGTAGAATTATATGAATTAGTTAAAAAAAATGGTAAAAAGCTGTTAATTACATGATTTTACAAAAGCAGCATTTTATGAAGATAATATTGCAATAAACTATCCAAGGCTAATATTAAAAAAAACAAACAAAAAAAACAACAACTTTTTACTTCATTATAATGTCAGTATTGAAATTGAATGCCTTACCTCTGAAAGTAATAGCCAATGGTGCAGTAACCTGTTGTTTTTTT